CCCACTTGGGGCTCCATCTTATGAACTGTGAGATCATGACCTGAGCCAAAATCAAAAGTCAGGTGCTTAATGGACTGAGCCACCCAGGTGCCCCTTTAATTTTTTTAAAAAGTAATCTCTACACCCAGTATGGGGCTCGAACCCACAACCCTGAGATCAAGAGTCATCCACTCCACTGAGCTAGTCAGGCACCCCTAAAGGTGTTTTTTAAATAAAATCTTTTTATTTAATGTTTAATTTTTTAAAGCTTTTCTTTATTTATTTTGAGAGACAGTGTGAGTGGGGAGGCACAGAGAGATGGAGAAAGAATCCCAAGCAGGCTCTGCACTGCCAGCACAGAGCCCGAAGTGGGGCTCAAACCCACCAACCACAAGATCATGACCTGAGGCAAATCGATGGCTCAACTGATTGAGCCACCCAGGAGCCCTTTTAATGTTTATTTTTGAGAGAGAGAGAGTGCAAGCAGAGGAGGGCCGGGGGAGTTGGGGGACAGAGGATCCCAAGCAGGCTCTGCTCTGACAGCAGCAAACCTGATGTGGGGCCGGAACTCATGATCAAGATCATGACCTGAGCTGAAATTGGACAGTCAACCAAGTAAGCCCCCCGGGTGTCCCTTAAATAAAATCTTTTATGAAACTCTACTGCATAAAACAAACCATGATGTTTTATTGATGTTAATGTATTTTTTAGCTTTAAAGTATAACATTGGCTTATACAGTCAAAGACAATTGCACGTACGAAATAAATACTCAATATTTTAACAAATGAACAGACTGAAATGAGGAAGATGGATGGAGGTTACAATGCCCTTATCACCTGTGTCATCTACTTTTTACCCCTGCAGTTTGAGTTTATTGTAAAGTAGTGAGATAATTCTGATCTTATAGAGGTCTTTAAACATTTTTTTTAATGTTTACTTTTTAAGAGAGAGAGACAGACAGACAGAATGCGAGCGGGGGAGGTGCAGAGAGAGAGGGAGACACCGAATCCGAAGCAGGCTCCAGGCTCTGAGCTGTTAGAATAGAGCCCCACGTGGGGCTCGAACTTACGGACTACGAGATCATGACCTGAGTTGGACACTTAACCGACTGAGCCACCCAGGCGCCCCTTATAGAGAAGTCTTAATGGTAGCATTTTTTTTTTAAT